TTAATCTATACTTTAAATATATAAATTAAAAAATTATTTTTTGATTCACTAAGTAAATTAATTATTTTCCTTTTTCTCACAAAAAAGAAACTACGTAATCAAATATGAAAGACAAATATGGTTGGCTCTACCTCTGCAAAAGCAATTGCGTCCATCTTTAACGCATATTGCACAGTACGAAAGAAAACCAATTACATGATGAGAGAAGAAAAAGAAGAACAGGACACTTACAGCATATCCTGGCACATGCATGAATCATCAATCAACCTTCTTTCAAACCCAAAATTTTTAAAGGTAAAAATGATAAGAAAAAGACAATCGTGTAGTACATACGGTACACAAAAGCAAGGCAAAACCATGAGTTAAGCCCCTGAATGAACCCCAGAATCGCTATTAAGCCCCTGGACTTTAATTGATGCAGTTAAGCCCTTGAACTCTGGGATCAAAGCAATTAAGCCCTTCTTCTTATGCTAGTAAGCCACTAAACTTTAATTTTTAAAATAAATTGCTTAAGAAGAAGGGCTTAATTGCTTCGATCCCAGAGTTCAAGGGCTTAACTGCATCAATTAAAGTCTAGGGGCTTACTAGCGATTCTGGGGTTAGTTCAGGGGCTTAACTTATGGTTTTGCCCAAAAGCAAACCATGGAACCCCAGAATAGGCAGCCATGTTGCCTACTGTTATGCATGTATGGCAAGCTGCATGTGCTCATTATCTTAATTAAAAACAGATGAGTGCAACCCTTTTTTTGAATTAAAAAACATATTCCCTATTGACCATGAGATCATGAATTGCAGCATTTCAGAGGAAACAGTGGATGAACAGAGAAAAAATGGGAGACATAATATTCATGTATGAAGAAAAAGACACCATTGCACTATAAAATCTGATGATAAAGTTATCTGCATTTTTAATTATTTACTTAAAATTCAATCCATTGTATTTATGTAAAAAAAAAAAAAAAGAAAAGAAAAAGAAAAAGACAACATAGCTAGGGGATATGTTCATCTTATTTGCAATGATATATGAGTTGATTCTGCAATATTTCTTTAGTGCAATGATGAGGGAAGAAAGAAAACAGAATTATTTGATGAAATCCCACTTCACCAAGAGGGAGAGGATAAAGGAAATGACTCTCTTTGGCCAAACTATTAAGGGAAATGATTGCTACCCATTGTTTAACCCATCCAATTAAGGAGAAAAAGGCCATTTGATGTCTTCTAAGGGATGACTAAAGTACTATGAAATTATGAAGGTAAGAACACAAGAAATGAAAAATCACACATGCAAAAGAAGAGCCAGAGTTACAGGGAAAGGAAAATACACCTAGACCTTCTACTAAGCCATACAGATCCGAGCGCCCACCCCAGAATGTTGGACCCCTCTCTAACCCATATCAGACTAGGCCAGAGAAAAAGACCAGAATATGCAGAATTGAAAAAAACAATGCAAAGCATCTAAATAGATTAATAAACGGCTACCATTACAGGTAACAAGGGTAGAGATTTATCCACAGCAGGATTTGTGTGGATCATATATACTTATCATGTACATCTACTACCTTGATACGCATCTAAGCAGCAATGAGAGTAAAACCAGAAGAAAAAAAATACCAACTTCAGAGTAAGAAAGCATATGAAAATTATGAGGTGAAAAGAGAATGCAGCAGCAAGCATACACAACACACGGAGGTTTGTGATCTGCATCCAAACTGCTAAGTCTAAGCAAGATAATCGCTAATTTGGCAGAAACAATGTTTATGTCATTTTTCAATTTGAAGATTTACTAGTCCACCACCAATGTCCAATATGTCGTATGTACATAAATTTTTGTAGATTCTGTTGGAAGTGAATAAAATGACATTTAAGTCAAAACTGGGCAGAAGCAATAAATAATAACATATGTATTTCCGACTTAATCTGTGGAACCCCAAAAGTTGTCTGACTTGCCAAACTACCGTAGCCAAGTAAAACATTTGAACTACGGTAGTAAGAGTATATGCAGTTAAATTGTTTCCCAAACCTGCAGGAACCTAGTGCCAATAAGTCACCTGTCTGTAGCCATGCTGGTGAGAATCCCATCCTCCCTCAGGCTCCCTTCTTTTCACTGCTGTACCAGAAAAGGTGACTGATTGGAAAGGTCGAATCTGGTCTTCCATCACTGAATTACTAGCAGTTTATTCCTTGCTTCTATTCTCCAAAGTAACCCTGTTCTTTGGATCAAAACATGGTCTTATGGTAGCAAGGCTATTTGGCCCCAGCCCACCAGGTATCTGTGTGGACTGGGAGGCTCCAGAAAAGGCAGGGTGAGTGCTGGAACCTAATACCTGAGGGAAGACAGTAGGCCCATTTTGCTCTGTTACACAAGGAATGATACCAGAAGAATATACAGCTGGAGAAAGGTGGTTGCTAGGGTCAATGCAGAATCCATTTGGATTGGGCCAAGAAAGAGGATATTGTGGTGGTGGTAAGGTCGGTTTATAAGATGACTTGTCTTGTACAGGAAATGTCCCTTGCATTTGTTCACTACAGGGAAGCATATTGGGCACAACCACCAGAAAGGGTTGAGCATGGACATGTCTAGAGACCTGCATGGGACTTGGATCTGCCTAGAATTCTGATCCTAAATTATTAGATTCTTGCTGCCTTGCCTTTCCTTAAAAAGAAACTGCACCGCTTCGCAATGTTAGCGCACCTTGACTTGGCTCGTGAGCATCTGCCAATGTATCTTCTGAGGTTGGATTGTTATTCAAATCAAAATTTCTAATAGGGAGTCTCCTCAGTGATGCTGGCAGATTCATTTGATGAAAATTGTCTTCATTTTCATTAGCACAGTTGAGGTCAATGCTGAAACTTTCTGGTTGCCTTGAGCTTGCCTCCCTAGGAGGGAGACTTGAAGATGCTGGGATACATTTCCCAGGGAGCAAGTCCATGTTAAAATCAACTCCTGCAGAAGCAATGTTGAGGTCAATCCCTTTAATGCATGAATCTTTAGAGTTGTTATGGTTGTTGGCAGCAGATGAAGTCTTAATGTTACCAAAACTCTCAGAAACAAAAGTCAATCGGAAAGCACTAGTTGCAGCAGGTCCCCTCCAACACAAATGTCATGTAACTGAACCACAGGTAGGGAGACAAGCTTCCCAGATTCAGACATTACAGTTACAGGTTTTGGCTTAAAGACACCATGCACATTGTGAGAAACTGTCTCTTTGACCAACAGCTCGGTACATTCTGCTTCCATTGCCACATCCTCATTAAGATCAAAATCATAAGTAGAAATAGTTCGATCTTTGTCAACTAGATCTTCAGATTTCGTAATTAGAGTATATTGCTGTTTGTAATTAGCTTCAGGTGCCACTTTCACCCCAAAGTCATGTGAAGGCCCTCTAATTTTGAAGTATAGTGGTTTCTTCCCCAGTGGGATTTCTCGATCAACCACCTCTTTATCATAATTACTACCTTCGGTGTAAAATGGTGTTCTACATCCAGATTCACCAACACAATTTTCTTTATATGGAACTGTAGAATCAGCACAATTTCGATGCAGACTTTCACTGCTTCTCCCTAGAACACAAGAGTTTCCTGAGGCTCTCTCTTGCTCCACTTCCCTCGCTACCCTCTATGCCACCTCAAGTGCATCGTCCAGCTCGGAAGAAGACTCCCCTTTATCATGGTTACCAGGAATTGCATTTTCTAATGTAGGCGGATTAGACTTCAGGATGCTATCTATCTCTACAATGACAGGCTTGCAGTCTGCAATCACTACCAGCTTACTGTCGCGACTTCTTGCTCCCACATCGTCGACTACTTCTGAGGCATTTTCCACATTCCCATGTTTCCAAGGTAAAAAGTTATTATCAGACCCATGTCCAGGAGAAATTTGGATGGCCAAACCTAATGCAGAACTTTTTCCCCCAGAATCGTCCACACTGCACTTTATTTTATTATAAGTGGAAGTATCAGCACCAATACTGTGGCATTTTGATGACCTGGCATCTGCTGATATATCCTGGCAGCTGTCATTTGGAGAAGCTGGAAAAATGACATTTGTAGAGTTAGAAGAGGAAGACTCCGTTTTATGTTGCCTAGTGTAACAATTGTCCTGCACCCGACACTTCAATCTGGCTCTACCATTTTTTAGGAAACAATTGGTCATCCTACCATTGACCAACTCAGTGTTTTGCCTCTTCAAATCTTCTCCACTTTCTGAGCTAGATTCACTCCTCATGGAAGTATTTTGTGTTGAATTATCCACCCATTCGGGGGCTTGTCAAAAAGCATTTCTATCTGCATTTCCTTCATTTACAGGCATATTGCATGGAGATATCACCATCAGAGCTCCTCCAGAACAACTTTGATTGATTATAACCGAATCTCCAGATGTAGTAACAAGAGAAAATGTTTTCTTCATATCATTCGCATCTTCTTTGGTACAAGTAGTAGAACTATTACCAGAACTTAAGCATTTTATTTCTATTTCTGGCAATTTTGCTACTTTGCAACCCTTAATATCAAGATCAGAGTCTCGTAACTGCTCCTCAAATCCAGCATTTGCTCCAGAACTATCAGGTATGCTACTTGCCCTCCCTAGAAGATCTTGCTGTTCAGAAGAATGGAGGTCATGGTGATCCATTGGTGCCTAATGACAGCCTGAAGAGAAGTTACCTATAGAATGGTACTGGGGTATCCTAATTTTTTATAAATCTAACAGATAAACATTAATCTCATAAACAAATATAAAAAACAAATCAAACGAGAACTTATCTCAATTAGTGTTCATTAAATTAAAACTCAAATTAATTTGGTGTTAATATCAAGAGTTTTAACATTTGCAGCACCAAGTAATTAATTTTCAATATGGCACGTAACATGTTTGGAGGGCATGGTTATGGCCACACAAATATTTTTTAAGGTTACAAAAAAACATTGTGTATTTGGTTTAATTGGTAATAGCAATTGATAGTTATAGATATTAATTGATAATACATAAAATAATTGGTATTTATTATTTAACAATTTAAAATTAATTTACATGTTGATATTTTATACACTCTTATCATTTGCAAACTAAGAAAATTAGTCAAAATAATAAATTTACAGTATCCTTGTGTGGCCTTAATGTTTGGGTGGTATAAACATGGCTATATTTGGACTTTTGGACACAATAATTCCTTTAGCAGTAGAGCTGTTGTTGAAGTACTGG